AAACCCCCCGCATCCCCCCCCCCCCCCACGTCCCCCAGAAATGCTGTGCAGATACTAGACCTCTGTCCCAAGACGCGCATGGTTCCTATTCCTGGCAGATTGGCGTCCCCTGGCGGGCTGGATCATCTGGACTTTTGTCCGGTTGACTCGGAGCGCTTTAGATAGCGGCCGAGTTGGCTGCGTCGCGAAAATAGATCAACTGGTGATGGATGGTGGTATTGCATCCGGTGAATGGAACGGGGTTGCGACTCCTGGACACGCAGAAGTGGTTCTTCATGCGTCCATTTCCTGCCCTTGCTGTACTCCGAGTGTCTATCAGGAGAGAGAGACTCGTGGTCCCCCTTAGTGATGACATGTTCCAACTTATCGCTGCTGTATGCCGACTTGGACACGCGAAAGTCCTCTCTCTATTAAGCATTCGACCTTGGATACTCCGTCAGGTGTGACAGGGTCCGATCCTGGTCGCTGGCATCTTTATCAATAAAAAATCTCCGATGCCGTGACGATCCATCCCCATCGCCAACCCGTGAGTCCATCATCTCATCTTCGGCAATGTCACACCCCGGCAGCGACAAGGGCCGGGTTTCACCTCGGTCCCTCTCACTCTCACAAGTTCATAACCAGCCGAATCATGCAACTAGTCCAACTTCAAACTCTTCAATTATGTGAGAGTACTCCGTACATCATCCCAGACTTGAATTCGCCTACAAGCCCATATGGATATTCAACAGAGAGGAAAACTCCCAGCAGCCCGTGACTCCATGCTCCGAACATCACATCTATGCTTTATATTTCTGCTGCCCGGTATTTTCGAGACCAATTATGCTTCCTTTGATTCAATATGCGCTCTCTTCACCTCCCGTTCTCCATCGCTGCCGTCCTGTGTTGCTCGTTTTTTCTCCTTTTCCCGAACTGGCTCCTTGGCAACTCCCTTTCGTGCCTCCCGTTCTCGTCGCTCATTCTCCTTGCGTAAAGCTTTTGACTCGAATTCATGCCAGTCTCCCTCAATCTCGGCCAGTCTTGGTTGGATGGTTAGCCCCAATGCCTGGTTTAAAAAAAAAAAAAAACACAGCTAATTAACAGAGGCTCAACTTACTCTGTTGCCTGTTTCGGTAATGGCTCTTCCGTGGTGAAATAAGCATGCTGCAAAGCTTCGGCAGCGGTTGGTCGCTTCGCAGGGTCATATTGGAACATGGCAGATAGTAACTCGAATGCTGCAGGAGTCAACTTTGAAATGTACTTGTCGAAAAAGACGCTCTTCCGCTTCACTGTTGGCCGAAGGAGTTCAAACCAAGCCATGTCAACTAGTCCAGGCCATTCCTGGCGGTTCGGCGTACCCAAAACACTGTAAATTTTTTCCAATTGACTCAGTTCTGTGCCATCGCCTGGGAAAATAGCTGTCCTGTTGAAAATCTCCACCATCACACATGCCGCGCTCCATACGTCCACAGCGGCTGTGTACTGGGTTTCTCCCAACAGCAACTCAGGAGATCGATACCAAATAGTTATGACACGGTTGGTGTAATCCAGTTGGTGTCGCTTCGCATAGAAGCGAGCAAGCCCAAAGTCGGCCAGTTTGAGCACGCCGGTGTTGCTGACCAGAATATTTGCGGCTTTGATATCTCGATGCAGGACACCACGAGTGTGGAGGTAGTCCAATCCCTCAAACAGCTGTTTGGCCAGGTCCTTCTTTTGCGCAGGTGCCAATTTGAATGTTGGGTGGTTCAAAAGACCTGTCAAGTCGTGTGACAAATATTCGAACACCATGAAGCATTCGTTCTTCTCCACCATAACTTCTTGAAGATTGACAATATTAGCATGTCTCAGCGACTGCAGCAGTTTGATTTCTCGAACTGCCGTCACAGGGAAGCCGTCTCGCTCGCCCTCCATGCGGATGCGTTTCAGAGCAACTAAGCCCTTTGTATACACGTTGACACCTTTGAACACTTTGCCATAGGTCCCAGATCCAACCACAGATTCGTTGCCAGGTTTTCGGTAAAACACAGATTCAGACCCAACCAAATCTGGCTCCAAAGAAGGGCGTTGCTTGGCTCGTCGCACAGTTTTCTTTACCTTCCGCGTCCTAGGAGCTATCTTGGGGCCGTCTGGAGGCGGGTTCCTAAAGTCCAGCCGCTGCCTGGCCGATGCAGGCTCTGTAGGCGCCGAGCGGGGAGGCTCTCTCTCCGTGGTACTGTCTTTCGTAGAAACATCCTTCTTTGAAGGTGCATTGAATTTTTGTGAAATCTCCGGCTTTGGTGCCGTTGGTGTGGGCTTTGAAGAAGCTTTGAAGGCAAAACTGAACTTTCCTGACGCACTAGACTGGGCGGATCCAGGACCTGTTGGCGTTGGGCGAGATGGAGCTGCTTGTGTCTCCTCAACAGTCTTCTCTCTGGGCGGGACATGAACTCCTGTGCTCGGCTCTGCTGACCTGCTTTCTCTATCAATATCCATCCCCGCGGGTTTGGATCCGTCGTCCTCCCTAGAACCACCAGCAGTGCTATAACGCCTTGGCCCGTGTTCGTCTGCATGCTGCGGATGTGATCTTGCCGTTGAGTCTGAGCTAGCCGGACCCCAAGCTTTGGTATTCGGCCCTTTGAACCCCCCCCGACCTTGAAAGGGACCGCCTCGTTGACTGCCTGCTTGGGATCCCGCCACGCCTCGATAGTTTCCCGAGCCATGAGAGTTCATCGGGCCCGACGGAGCCCCGTAAGGAGGGGATCGCGGGGGTTGTGAGTGATAATGGTCTGCTGGGCCGCTGGGTGGGCCATATTGACCCGGGCCATGGTGGTATGGAGGAGGGTGTTGACTATGCATATATTAGTAATGATCGTAAATTATTGATACGAGGAAAGCCATAAACTTACTGCTCAGGGGTATATTGACCATTCCACCCGGACCGCCCTGCTCCATAAGGAGAAGTAGACTGCGAGTTATGAAAGGAGCCGCCATGCTGAGGAGACTTGGAGTAGCCTCTTGAATCGGTTCCATAATAATGCCTGTGACCGTACATGGAATTATACCCTCCTCGATAACTGCTCCGAGATGCCATCTCGTCGTCTATGTCAGAACGGGAGGGAAAATGCGGCTCTACAGAGTCTCCCTGATGTCTGATTTCGCGATGGGATCTAGGGGACCGCTGTGGCGCTTCTCTCTGAGATCGGGAGTCGTTGCCGCTAGCAGGCGGGCCGCTGGGTGCAGCTGCAGAGGGGTGGCTCGAGAGAGAGGTGGTGTGATGGCGGCGAGAAGAATCGTGTCGACGGCTTCCAGGAGGAGATGGACTCCGTGATGTCGGCCGGCGGTCTTTCGACCTGTACTCTCTAGATCTGGATCTGGGCCTGCCAGAGCTTCTCGACGGCCGGGATCGTGACACGGATTCGCGCCTGGACCGCGAGCGAGATCTGGAGAATACCTTGCGTTTCGATCGGGAGCTTCGTGATGGGGAGGGAGAGCGACGAGAATGAGAGTGGCGACCAGGAGATCTTGATCGATGTCGATGGTGGTGGCGATGGCGCTCGTGGGAGGACCGGCGTCTATGCCTTCTCGACTCCGTGTCCGGAGAACGGTCTCGAGATGGCCGGGATGTTTCGTGATCCCGCTTCGATCGTTTTCTGTGAGGCGATTCAACCGAGTGACTCCGTGCCCTGTGCCTCTTGGCCGAAGAAGATGGAGACACCGGGGCGACTCGTTCACGGCTACGACTGCGACGACGTTCGTCGTCAGGATCCCGGTGGCGTGCCTTTTGCGCTCGATAACGTGGAATAAGATCCTCTACTTCGGGGCCTCGGCGTGCAGATTCGGTTCGATGTTGTCGCGAACGATCTCTGCTGCGATCGCGAGAACGACGACGATCGTCTCTGGACGAGGCGTGACGGTGCCTTGAACCAGAATGGCGATATCGAGACTCGCTGCTTGGGCTGCGACGGGCCGCCCTGGGAGGAGATCCTGGCCGATCCGAGGATGATACTCCTCTACCAGTTCGAGCCCGTTCTCCGTAATGGCTTCCTCCAGAATCTTTCATGGCAACATGCCGACTTCGACACGGATGGATTGGCGGATTGCCTATGGCGGCGAGTACCCCGTTTGAGTTTTAGTGCTGTGAGCAATAAATCGCCGCACCTTACCCGAATGACAGGGGATCTTCCCGCCCACTCTGACAGCACTTGAGCTGCTGCGCGTCCGCCCCGAGAGAGATCCCATCACCCTCCTGGCTCACTGAGAGCAGGAAAAAAAAAGCAAGTCGTCAAGCATGATGCAGATGGCGGGTGACTAATACCCAACATTCTGCAGCCTTCTTCAGCTTACCATGTTAGGCCGACGACAAGCCAAATATTCATCATGAAACAGCCCTTGGGGCTGCTTCTGTGAAGTCCTTGTTCCCCGCCTCGCCAGACCAGCTTCAACCTCAACCACCAACGACCAGCTCTGTTCTGTCCATGTCGAATGAACCCCTTACCATTTGCAGCACCGCCCAAGAGGCTTTTTAAATGTGTTCGCTATCATGAACTTCCGACCCGTTGCCGTCAATGCTGCCCCTATTGGAAACTTTGTCTCACAAGATCGTAGCCTCGCCACTGCTCCTACAGCGACAGGCAATGGAAACTACATACTAATCCTCTCGGATAATTTACGAAACATCCCTCCATCTGTCTGTTCAACATGTGTCACAGAATGGTAGCTGTGCGAAATCGTCAAATCCTCCAGTTGGCAGATCAGCCATTCGCCACGTTGTCAAGCCCCTCATCACAGCTGGTAGGTAGACCGACGACGCTCCCTCCGATATCATAGCACAGTGATTCTTGTTGCCACCTTCCAAGAAATGGTTTTCAAACCACTATAAAATTTTCACCGGGCTGAGTGCAAGTCTGTGGCACGTCGATGTTGGTCATTCAAAGCTGGCCATTCATATGAAGTGAATTTGACGAGTTGAGGTGTAGAAGCTCGCAAAACTTGATATGACAAGATCAGCATATATGCTGTCTGCGGTGTATCTGGCGTGGCGTGTAGAAGGCCGGGGAAGACGGGTTGCCTGGCCCCGAAATGGGTGGCGCAGGATGTGCCGTAGACATCTTTTATAATCAAAGATGTGGTACCAACCCCCTTCTGACAGACGGTAGCCTTTGATCGTTGCATGATCCTCCGGGGTCAAGTATGGACGGCCAGTCTCTAAACAATGACTCACGTCATGTCATAGCCATCGTTGCATTCGACAAGTCTGCAGCACATGCGCATTCTTGCGTTGGAGCAAACCAATCCGGTGTGCGGTGACTGCATTTTTCGACCATGGCAGCATTATCCGCACAGAGCCTCAAGTTCTGGTCCGATTTTCAACGTGGTTGTATCTCGGACTTGATGTCGGTTCTAGTTGCAAAATGATTGATTGCTAGTCGACCCTGCGGCCGCACTCTAGGTTGGGTGTCATCTCGTTACCGCATTTTCGATGAATCGGTCAAGAACCTAATGGGGCACCAGTCTTTCAGTTAAATGGGATGCTAACATGTTAGTATGAACAGGCATGTTGCCGCAACGTAGCCGACTTTGTCATATTGTGCCCAAGTTTGATAGAGTTTAGGCGTGAAGGTGCCACGACTGTGCGCAAACGCATGAGACAAATGGTGGAGTCGTCTACCTGTAGTCACGTGATTATTCCAATGACCGACTGTCGGATGAATTGGCTGCCGTTATTCCGATGACGCAAGGCAGGGGTCGGGCACTTGCCTCGGCTGGTCCGCTGAAGAGAGTCGAAGCACGGAGATCGGGCTTTGAATAAATCGCCTGTTACAGAGTTCCAGACCATTGATTGGGTAGTACCTCAATTTCGATGGCAAAAAGATGGAGCCAGAATCCATTTGAAGGTTAGAATACGGAGTACTCCGTAGTATCTACGGAGAAGCTGCCTCGTGTTGCAACTTTCAGGAAAGAACAGGGAAGTGGCCAATGCAGGAGTCCCAAGCTCGAAATGTGGACGTCAGCAAAACGAGATTGTGTTTTAACCTTGAAATTTCAACCACGGGTCTACGTCCTCCGAGACTTTCTGTGCCAGTGCCAGTGCCAGTTACTAAACGAATTAACCGATTTTGAAGCAGTTCCGACAATTTTGAATGCAATTAAGCGACCTCTGGCCCCCCCCTCAGAGAATCACCTACATACGTCAAGCCTCGAGCAGACTTTGTCACGGCAGTCTTCTGCCTAATTTATTTGCGGTGACTAGGCATATTGGTAGCTATGGAGTGGTTCGGCCATGCCAAGGTAGAGTTCACTCACGCCCCTGCGCCGCGAGCGATACGGGAGAAGGATGGCAAGGAGACAGATTTGCTCAAGATTGTTGAGGAATCAACGCCTCCATGCCACTTGAACCCGCTGTTGTTCAATGGCCACATTCAGACAATGTGGACGGCCACCAAACCCAGCGGACCTCCAGTATACTATCGTCGCAGGATATTTGACGCCGACCACAAGACGTACAAAGGCACCTTTGCTGTGGACTTTGCTGTGCAACCGTTTGAAGGGGGCGACGAGACATTACCCAGGAGAACCACTTACTACACGGATGAGGAATTCGACAATATAGGCTCAGATGATTCCAAGCCTATGCTGGTCGTTTTGCACGGTTTGTCTGGAGGCTCTCACGAGATATATCTGAGACATACTATTGCTCCTTTGCTAGGAGATGGAGGTTGGGAAGTATGTGTAGTGAATTCGAGGGGATGTGCAGGGAGCAAGATCACCAGTGGCGTTCTTTACAATGCTCGAGCTACTTGGGACTGCCGACAGGTTTGTGAGATGCTCAACAGCTCCTGAGAAATGCTTGCTGATCATATATAGACCGTAAAATGGCTGAAGAAAACGTTTCCGAACAGACCGCTGTTTGGTCTCGGGTTCTCCTTGGGAGCCAACATGCTAACCAATGTAAGTACCTAGCAGGTACTGAACCACGGATAGTTAGGCCATATATATTGACCAGAAGCAGTATTGTGGTGAGGAAGGCGAAGACTGCCTTCTAAAGGGAGCCGTCGTATGTTCTAACCCGTTCAACTTGGAAATATCAAGCAAAATGCTACAAAATCGATTCATCGGCAAGGAGGTGTATTTGAGAGTCATGGGTTGTACGCATCACTCCAATCCCGCCGTTACTTCTGTTTTATGGGTCTAACAGTGCCGCCAGTTGCCATGAAGAACTTGATCAGCACGCACAAAGAAGCCTTGAAGAAGTACACCGACCTTGATCTAGCCTCCCTTGAAAAGGTCACGTATTTATATGATTTCGATCGCGAGGTCCAGTGTGTAGCTTTTGTTCCAGGAAATCTGCGTTAATCACTAACCATACATCAGGTGTCCAACATGGGGATACCCTACTGAAGATGCCTACTACCGTGATGCATCTTCCACGGATGCTGTCTTAAACATCAGGATTCCTTTCATTGCCGTCCAGGCAACTGATGACCCTGTAAGCAAGCCGGAGCATTGAAGACAGTCTTCGATACTAATGATTCGGTAGATTGCTGTGAGGGAAGCCCTTCCCTATGCAGAATTCAAGCAAAACCCCAACACTGTCATGATTACCACATCCATGGGAGGTCACCTATGCTGGTTTGAGATGGGCAGCAGTCGATGGCATCCCAAGCCGGTGGGTTCGCTTTGACATCACGGATCTTTCTCGTTGAGCTAACTACGTGGCCTAGATTTGCAACTTCCTAAACCATCTTGCGTTCAAGGCCGACTTGGATAGCATTACGCCAACCAGATTACCTACTCCAGAAAATCCAAAACACGGTGCCGACTACAACCCAATGCGTCGTAAGCTTCAAATTTTTGAGGATTAGATGAATGTGCCAGACATAAGGAGCAAAAACTAGAGGGGCCATTACATTCAGCGAGACCTATGCCAGACATGGAGTAAAATGACTTATATAGACAGGATTCTAATGCCCAATACAAGACTGGAAAGAACATTGAATTCCGTGGTTTGTGTGCCCAATCTTTCCCGATCCCATCTGCGCTGCCCACACCGTTCAAACAAGCGAAACCCGCCCAGTGGTATGCCCAAACTCCAAGCGCCGAACGATGCAAAATATAGCGAATATCATCATGCAGTTTCTCCTGCTATGCTTCAAGACGCCGCGTATTACGGACATCATGCAAACGCAACCTTCTTCTTTGACTTGGTAGCTTTCGACCCTGCCGATGCCAACATCTTGACTAAATCCTCTTCTTCGCCACCACTCTTTCTCTTTCTCTTCTTTCTCAATGACTCCTTTGCATCCTCCAACTTTGATTTCTTTTCCTGCTCTTTCTTCTCAGCCTCGAGCTTGCGCGCCTCCCTGATCTCTTCCATCTGTCTTGCCTTGATCATTTTCGACTCGATCTCACCGTTCTTTTCAGCTTGAACTATTGCCATGATAGTCCCCATGCTCTCCTAACCGCTGATCAGTCTCAAAATTGTCAAAAGCCATCAGATTGAGCGAACGGACCTCATCATCAACAAAGACCTTGCCCTTCTTCTTCCCTTTAGGCTTTACAACGCCAACAGGCGTTACCATATTCAATGTGGGAATACCCAATTCCGCCTCTGTATAGACCTTCTTCTTGGGCTTTTTAAGAAGCGCCGCGCGATTCTTTTCCTTGACTTGCTGCGAAACGACAGGGCCCTTGGGCTTTTTGGATTTCGAGATGCCGTCGGTAGCAGAACGCTTGCCACCGGCACTACCTCCGGTTTTAGACGAGGCATCCTTGGGGGCGGCATGTTTGTTTTTGATAGTTCGCGTTTTTGAGGCCGCCATTTTGGTTATTTGCCCGTGCTGGGACGCTGAGGAGTACCGCGGGTTGTTTGGTAAGATCGTGGTAACGGCGACACAACTTCCAGCAGGCAAGGAAATTTTTTTTTGGAGATAAGCCTTTGCGACGGGCGATAAGGATTGCTTGGGGAAGAGCAGGTCAATGGAAGGAATACTGGTGGGCTGGACCTGTAGTGGGGCCGCTAACTGCAGGCAGGCGCAATGGGCAAAACACCGTGCGACTTGTGCAAGTGACAATCGCTGAGGTTGGCGCAATTCTCACTGTCAACTCGCTCCATACAGAGTCTACAGAGTATATCTACAACAGGCCTCCGGCAAAGCATCAATGCTATTCCAATTTACCTCTGCCATGCTCACTACTCCAGGCAAGCCAACTACCACCCTCTTCACTATCAAACGCCACAGCGCCCAACGTAATATCCCGTCTTTGATCATAGGGTCTGGTATTATCTATCTCGCCTTTGAGAAACGCCACATCAAGTCATTACAAAACGCTGCATCACACGTTCCCCCGAAACTGGCTCCGCACATTTCCCTATTTTGAAAAAGAAGCCAAGAGAAGCGGCGCTAGGTAGGTGAAGATGGCTGCACTAGCTGCGTGTTGATGGGCACTAGAATGCGGGGGAAGCAATAGGAGACACAGCCCAACTGGACTCTACACACTTCATGTAAACGGTGAAGTTGATACTGGGTAGGATACGGGTACGGGTGAGGTAAGCAGGGAAACCGGGAGCTTGCGCACCACCACCAACCCCATGGGACTGTTGTCATCGGCTTCGTCCCTTGCTCCTTATGTTCATAAGAGCCTATTTAACCCTATCGTGTAGCAAGACATTCTAGAGCTCAGCGGTCAGTACGATCATCGTGGTAGAGGAGGACTGCCGAAACAGACGTGATGCTACAAGAATAAAGCGCAAGCAGGGTTGCCTGAGGATAGACGAAATTGGGGGCAGATGCTTACAGTACACTGGACGGAGTTTGGAGAACACAATTGAAGCCGTACAAACGCAGAAGTCATCAGAAGAGAGTAAGTAGCTCAAGCCGCCCTCGGGTCATGAGAACGAAGGACGGGCGTTGGCAATGCGAATTATCACCACATCAATGCTGTTTGTTTCTGACCTTGCCTTGCTTCCATTCTCTGTGGCTGAATATTTACCGGCTAGTGTCGTAAAAGAAGCATTCACAAGCACGAAATATCGGGCAATAAATAGCCATGCTCAACCTCAAAAGCATCAAACAAGTGACCCTCCCATCAATTGGTCTCGGTGCCCATTTGCACAACCTTGGTATTAGTAGCTCCATCATTCTTGGCACTGCAAAAGCTAGAACCCAATTAAGGCCAAGAAAAATGGACAATTGATGCCAGGGTTCGTTGTTGACCCATGCCAGTTAGCCCCTTAGGCACCAGAGGAGTGGACCCAGGGGCCCTCAGAGACCCCCCAGAGCCCGCCGAGCCACCAGCTTCTACTGGTCTCTACCAGACACTTCTCGCCTAAGCAGAAAAAAAGTTGTGGAGGGTCCTGTGAGGCCATGTGCCTTGTTGTCGTCTAGCCAGGCGCCTTCTGTCTGATCAAACAGGTGGCTTGCATGCCTTGACGTTAGTCCAGTCTGCAAAGAATTTCTTTTGACCTCCACAACACCAACCTCGCTACCTCACACCCACCATCCATCTCCAAGTCGCTCTCAGAAAAAGTCCAAGATCCACAGACCACGCCGCATTCCATAACTGCAACACTGCAACACTGCTGCCCTCGCCTACGCATCGTCCCGGCCTCCCTGCATTTCATCATCTCACAAACTTGCAAACAACAAATATTTTCCCATTTGACATAGTATACGTCATCTCTTGATCTGTCGACGCACCTCACGCCACTACTCACTGTATACTGCTCACATCAACTGGCTGCCTCGCACAATCGTGTTGCCCTGAGCTTCGCTGTCGATTCGATTCTCCGTCGCTGCCTTGCATCACGAACCTACGCTCGCATCTAGCATATAGCGTCAACACCGCCGCCTCCGAATACCTTCTGCGCTGACTTTTGCTCCCATCGCACATCGTCGTCTGGATTCAAACACCCCAAGTCATTCATTCGCTGCCCACATACACCGCTCCCGCCAGAATCACCATCAACGCCTGTTCCCCTTCCTCGCCTTTCTTGGCCCTCGCGACGCCGCTTTGAGGTGTCTCTGTCCGACATCGAGCCGCATCATTTAGACACAAGACACAAACTACGTCTTCATGGATAATCTATGGAACCGTCGCACAAAGTAAGTTCCGCATACCACCTCCCGGCCCTCCCTCGTGCCACCCAACCACATCTATTCCCTCGCTATATGTGTCAGTGACTAATGACTTTTATTTGCCTTTTTCTATAGCTCTGGCAAATTGTCCCTTTCGACATCGACGAACGGTCCCAACGGCTCATCGGCCGGTGATGCCTCCCGCAACTCCTCCGTCTCCAGGCGCCATGGCGGCGACATATCCGCGCATGGCAAAGCCAGCCCTTTCAATACTCCAGGCGGCAGCCTAGCGTCTCCTACCAGTGGTGCTTCAAGCGCTTTTGGCTTGGGCTCAGGTGCTTTTGCTTCGTTTGGCTCAGCCAAGACACCCAAGTCTGCTGGAAACCCTTTCGACACGGCTATGGGTTCTGCTGTAGCTAAGACCACTGCCGTGAAGGACAGTGGCAAGGCTGCCATTAGTAAAGCCCCGATTATGGCATCCATTGCCGAAAATAAGGTGTCTTCTTTGACGGTAGCTTCCAAAGCACACCCGCTGAAAGATGCGTGGTCATTTTGGTATCGTCCTCCCATCTCCAAGGCCCATGGCTTCATCGAGTATGAAAACACCCTACACGGCATCGCCACCGTGCAAACCGTCGAGGAGTTTTGGGAGATTTACTCTCATCTGAAGAGACCGTCTACCCTGCCAGTTGTGTCTGATTACCATCTTTTCAAGAAGGATATTCGACCCATCTGGGAAGATGAGGTGAATCGAAAAGGTGGGAAATGGGTTGTAAGGATGAAGAAGGGTGTGGCTGATCGGTATTGGGAGGACTTGCTTCTCTCCCTCATTGGCGATCAGTTTGGCGATGCAGGTGAGGATGTATGCGGCGCCGTGTTAAGCATGCGTAACGGGGAAGACATTCTTAGCATCTGGACACGGACAGCTGGCGGTCGCGTGCTCAAGATTCGGTAAGCGGATACCACGCAAATCTTGACCCTCAACACGGTTAGACTAACCATTTTCCCCCTTTTGATAGAGAGACCATGAAAAGCGTACTCAACTTTCCCCCGAACACCCGTGTCGAATTTAAGACGCACGATTCGAGTATTCAGCAAAGAACCGCTATCGAGGAACAGCGCCGTGAAAAAGCCAACCAGAACCAGAGCGGCGATAGACGTCACACCCAGCGACAGAGCCACGAATAAAAAGTAAGAGGTTTTGTTTTCGGTCCTCACTTAGCGCAATCGCCTGAGGCTTCATAGTCCCCATTACCTTTGTTGTACAACATCTTTGAGACAAAATAGGCGAGTTCAAGGTTTGACAAGAAGCCGAAGACTCCCTTGGGTTTCATTACTTTGTTTCTTCTTTGCCTGGTGCTTCCTTCGTGCCTGCTTGATGTCATGCTCTGGAGTTTTATTTTGCTTGGAGGCAAAATGGAAGGGAAGGTTGTGGATGCGTCGTGATTTTTTTGTTTTCCTCATTTTGCGCAAGGCATATACCGGGGTTCGTTGGACACAGGAATGGGATGCTTTTTTATTTTATTTCATTAATAAAATAAAGCAGACAAAAAGAAACAGAGGAGAGCAAGAAAGAGATATTGCCCAGACTAGGGCCTGGGCAGCTATGATAGGTTTCATGTGACCATGTACTACTATATGTATAGCTTATGAGCGAACGTTGGCGAGGAATTCCACGGCGGACTGCCGAGAAAGCGACAAGTTGCAACAAATGCAGACATGCTTATCCAAAATCCTGTTCCAGCGCCACTGACTTGGATTTAAACGTGATGATCATCATGAGTATTCCGTAGTCTGTTTATCATCTTATCCATTACTATACATGTTTGATTTTCAAAACCAAGATTTCACGCCATGACCTTGTTCCTAGCTCCAGAGGCCGCTGGTTTTGGCTCCCTCCTCCTCTCCCAAATTTGCAAATACGTCTCGCCCAAATACAACAACTCGCTCTGGACCTTTTCCACGTACAAATCCTGACAACTGACCCATTCGCCCGTCGCCCTGTCCCTCACCTGTGCTTTCCACGTCTTCCTCTCGTCCCCACTATCCGCGACATCTTCCCTCGTGCGCACCGCCTCGTGTACAACGTTTGCAACCAGGTCGTACCAGATGGGCTCCGAGGCCGGCCACTCAGCGGGATTCGGTTCCACATACGGCGACACATCGAGATTTCTAGCGTCAAATGTAACGATTGTAGGATTTCGCTCGGAGACAAACTTGTTCTGCGAAAATCGCTTGACGTGGAATATCAGGTATGGCGGGAGGGGGTGCAGCAGGCGGTAGCGTTTGCGCTGGGCGTGGTGCTCCTGCGCCGACTTGCCGTCGTATTTGGACAGGATAGTGGTCAGGGGCACTTGCGGGATGATGTTCCTTTCGAGTTCGTCTTGGAAGAGCGGCGCGGCGGGGAGGTCGAGCGTGAGGAGGAGGAAGCGCACAATGTCCACCTTTACCTGGGCTGCCTCTTCGAAGCGCAACCTGTCGGTGGCGTCTGCGCGGGCGGTGATGGCTTGAGACTCGACCTTGAGTCTGCCCTGGAATGTGCGCTGGATCATGGAGCTGCCTGGTTTGGACCTACTGCCGCCCAGTCCGAGGTGGAGGTTGTTTAGAAACCAGGAGAGGAACTCGACGGGGTCGGACTGTGTGGTGAGTGTGAAACGCTTATTGGAGCGGAGGGCGATTTCCTGGAGGAGCTCATGCGGAGAGACGTGGGCTTTGAAGGCGCGCGGGTTCCAGATCTTGCGAAAGAGGATGCTGCAGCGCTTGACCAGCTCCGTGGTTTTGGTGAAGTCCTCTAGAAGGAAGTAGTTTCTTAGCGGGGGCACGTGGGAGAGAGCCTGTACAATCACGTTGAGGTAGTCGTTTTCTTTGATGTTGTTCATGCCCACGAATCCCGGGGTGTATTCTTTCCCGGCGAGGGTCCATGATTTGTGGTGCGAGCGGTCGAGGCTCATGACTTCGCGTTTGGTGTACCGCGGGTCCGAGACGTATTTGATGTCGTCTAGTGATTTGCTCTTCACTTCGTAGCCTTCTGGGAGGACGTATACTTTTTGGGTCTCGAGGTTGATGAAGACGTGATGGTCTTCGTCGAGGGCGTGAAAGTACGCGTGCGACTTGGGCCCGCGGCCCTGAAAATATTTGCCGCAAACTAGACACGCGTATACGTTGATGTTGGACAGCGAGATGGAGCAGAGCTTTTCAAAGTCAAAGTCGAGGACTTGTCGGTCTATTGTGTCGAGATAGAGGTCATCGTAACCCTCGGTGGGGTTGGCTTGTCGCAACGGCGCGGAGGGAACTGCTTCGTCAAGGTCGTCGTCATTATCGGAGCTGTTGTTGCCGTCGTCTAACTGTGCTGGTGCGGCAAAGGGTACGCCGTTTTCGTGGGGCGGCGTTTCAACTTCGGCTGTTCGCGACTTTTTGGATGCTGGTGATGCTATGCCGAGGAGCTCGTCGAGGGGCTCCGATGCATGGCGCTTGGCCATGGTGTGCCGCGCTTATATCTATGGTTTCCTGGGACGTAATGTTGTGCTTTGGAGAATTCGTGCGGTTGGAGAGCTGTATGATGAGGCAATGGGTGATGACGGTAGTTTATTTGTTGTGGTTTATAAGTTGGAGCTTGGAGATGAGATTTGCTACTGTAGGATGAAAAGAAAGCTGCTTCATTGTGGGGCGGCGGCGGGAGGAGCACTGTAAGTGCACCCGTGGAACTGGCTAACCTTCCCATGATCAAAGTCGCAGCTGGAGTTTTTTGAGCATCAACACAGTAGCGTCCCTGTCTTTGTAGCATTTTTGCCATCAGATGCTTCGTGCCATGGAGTCATGGAAATGATTATTGTAAATGCATCCTCAGTTAATTGATAATGAACATTTATCAAACGCCTATTTACCCCATGTATATGCATTTTAAACGCCTCTAAGTTAGAGCCAATCTATTCAACCATGACCGCATCACCTTGTCCGTTGTCTAGTTCCTTTAGACTGGCATTGCTGTCTTCCATTGGTACCAGGCCGTCCATCTCCTGCAGGGTATATTCCACCAAATAGCTCTCATCTACCAACTCTTCCATACGCCTGTAATGGCGCTCCGTGTATACCCGCAGCCCTTGGAGGACATCGCTCAGACTCTTCTGTCCACGTGCTCCCTTGACCGATAAGTCTGAGAATTTAGAGGCCGGGTAGCTTCTCACCAACGTCCAGAGAATGCGCTGGGCAACTTGTGCAGTGCGGGCATTTGTATTCCAGTCTCGCAGTCTAAGAAGCAGAAGGAAAATCTGCTCATCGGACAAGCTGCCCAAAACCTCGTCAACAGCCTTCAGCCCACAAAAGCTGCCTTCATCTGGGTTGCTGTTGGTAACGACCGACGTGAACAAGTTCAAGAGACGACCGGGATGGTTGAGTTGAAGTGCCAAAGTGATAGCCTCTCTGTATGAGCCAGCAAAAATGTGGTTCTCCAATTCTTGCTCCTGCTCAATCATCTTCAGCGCGGCTTGCGAGGCCACAGCCTGGGTTTCAACCGTCGTGTCCTTCCAAAATGTCACTGTGGAGTCACCGCTACCAGATGCGATAGTGTTGGTTTCAGGATGAACAGCTACGGCCCAGACTCTGTCCTCATGGTTGTCCAGAGTACATTCCGCTTCGCCAGAGTTGGCATCCCATACCTTGACAAGACCGTCACCAGCAGCAGAAACAAACTGGACTGGTTTCCTTGACTGTTCCTGTTGAGACGGCAAACCAAACCAAGCAACCTTGAGGACACTGTTGGAATGTCCCTCAAACGTTCTGATGCATGTGTAATCGGCTAAGCTCCAAAGTTTGACACTCTTGTCACCACTACCAGTGAGAATGACTCCCTTACCTGTCACAGGGCCGTCATTTCCTTGTATAGTAGGCAGTTGAGCTGGAGAAAATTGAACTGACCAAACTCCTCTCTTGTGACCCCGAAGAATGCCCTGGACCTCACCTTCCTCCATTGACCAGATCTTGACTGTTTTGTCTTGCGATGCAGAGGCAAAGAGACTACCTGAGTGGTGGACATTGATTGCATTAATGTCTTTCTCGTGAGCTTTTCTGGTGAAGACAGCTCTAGGTTTCGAGCCTTGCTGTTGGCGTTGGCGGGGGATCTCCCATTTCTTGACTGTCTGATCCTGGGAGCCAGTGATGAGACACGCTGGTGGATGATCAAGTGGACGGGTTCGTGCAGCAGAACCTTCAGCGGGGACCGACTTTGGGAGGGCAACAGCCCCAAGAGACTCAGCATGACCCGAGAAAGTAGCCCAACAGGTGTATGAGTTGCGGGCAGAGTCTACACACCACACTCGCGCCGTGTTGTCTTTAGCGCCTGTGGCAATCCAGTGTCCCGACCAGTCGATATCCAAAGAGATGACAATGTCTTCGTGCCCTCTGAGAAGCGCCACGTCTTGCCCGAAGTAAGGAGTCGCGTCGGAGTCCCACGACGCCGAAGCTCCCTCTGTCGTGGCTTGAGCTACCGATATCAGTCGAATATCCTCAGAATTAGTTGCAAGGGCCATGAGGGATCGATCTGGAAGCAAATAACCAAGGTCAATGATTTCATCGTGGGTGCCTGAGATGCGACGGAAGGGTTCCGGGACGCCTAGAGAACCTTCTGATCCTTTGGTAGGTAATTTGTAGAACGCAAGCGTATGATCCACTTGGACGCAAAGAATGAAAGGCAAGCCAGAACGATAGATACCGGCCACAATGCCCTCTTCCTCGCTTCTTTCTGATTGAGCTGGGGTAACTTCCCTGCCATTGTCTGTATCCCAGATGCGCAAGCAACCATTTGCGCCAGCTGAGAAGGTCAGCCGACCCTCGTCAAGGAACCCGGCCGTCTCCACAAGCTCAAGGCAAGGCACGATTTTTCGAATCTTCCATGACTTCGTATCCCACCAAATAAGGGTTTTGTCCCTGCTTGCGCTAACAAGGGCATGCTGCTCAGGAGAGTAATCGATTTTCTGGACATCAGATACGTGGGAGTCGAGATTGGCAATGCATCCGCGCTTATTCAAGTCCCAAATTCGTATTTTTCCGTCCTGGCTACCCGAAGCCAGCCTAAAATTGGCGCTACTAGTGCCTTCAACCTCGTTGTCAGAGTCATCCTCAGCCTGTGCGCCTTTCTTGCGCTTTCGCGAGCTTTTATCGTCCTTGGATCGGGCCGCGACCTCGAAAAATTGTAACGCGGATACCAAAACAGACGGGCCGCGGAAAGAATGCGTCACATAACCGCCTGCAATATCCCATACTTTAATCGTGCCATCAGTTCCGCCGGTCGCGAGCAGTGTGCTTGTGCGATCAACCGCCAAGACCACTACAGGCGTGCCGTGCGGCTTTAGGGTTCGGGAAAGGTTTGCTTGGACTGTATCGGAGGAGGGAGAGCGCTTTAAGGAGAAGATTCTCATCGATAGCGATCGCGAGCAAAGAATGAGGTGCGAACCAGATGGGGTCACTACACTATGGTTAATATGCTGATGTCATAGCTTGAGCCAAAAGAAGAAGAAAAGAAATTCTCACAAGACAAAGTAGAAATCATTTCCCCATCCTGTCGAGGTACGTCAGCATGCGCGCGCGTTGCGACTCGTCAACCATGGATAATTCTCTTACACCTTCAATCTGGGCCAAATGCTTCCCGTTGGCGGGGTCAGTCAAGACAACATCTTCGCCGAGAGTTGTGGCCAGAATTTGAGCGCCGTTGTCAATTGCAATTGATCCGCCCGTAAATATAGGCCGAATAACATGTTCGACATCAAAGGTTGTTTTTAATGGCTGTTTGGTAGCCATGGCTAAAATCGCAAGCTGTTGCAGCCGATGACCTCGAACCCTCGTGCATTGAATTTCGAACTTTTTTTTGGGTCCTTACGGGAAGCAGCCAGTCGTTGGTCAAATGAATGACTAAGCAAGGCCGACTACTTCTAGCACAACCACTTGCCGTTAGTGGGGCCAAGCCAAACATCACTTCCAGTTGTCGCAACATCACCTCATCATACTAGGGAGTTTATTTTTATCCGCAATTCTGCTGTGGGGATGGACCGAGTAGAGAATATTTAAAGACATCCGCCGCCATGGGTATGCAGGGGCCTCTCACGGCCCAGGCCCTGGTATGGCTCGTTTGCCATCCTGTATCTGTCTTGTTCGAGCTAATCACTCTCCAGGGCCGCTCTCCATATGACGAGGTTGTTGAGGGGGAAGGCGAGGACGATCCCCGTCATCCCACGCAGCAGTATGACTATCGTGGCCGCCCTATAAACCCAGAAACCAAGAGGATGAACCGCGACCTCATCAGGGCTCATAACGAGGTGATGTTGGTGATTGGAGTAGCCGAGCCAGAGAACCCGTACTCTGGATCAGAGGTCGAATCGCAGCGTCGACACGAAGCATATGAGGAATCAATGGGTCTTCAATTGGCTATCCCGGCTAGAGCATGCATTGAGTCCATGGGCGTTTTTGGCGTCCACGGCCTTCGTCAGCGAATCTTGGTTTGTACTAGCATGCCTCTGGTCACATGAAACTATCCTGAATTACGATGTTGATTTTCTCATGCTCCAGATTTACAAAAGATACTCTCAGATACCCTTCTGGGAGTTATTTCAGCGAGCCAGAACTGATTTCTCTTTTACCAGAGACGTCCTAGCTGGCGCCCCAACAGCCTTACTAAACAACTACGTCGAAAGACTGGTGACATGCTTATGGGTTAATGATGAAGATAAGCAAATACCTCGTCGTGTGTATGTTTTCTTTTCTTAAAGCCCCTCGTACTTTGTCATCTAACTAGGAATAGGATCCATGAAATCTGGTCCTATTTAAGAGTCCATCTAGAGTTGTACGCCGCTATGCAACGCCTGGGGATTCTGCCCAATGGGTTGTGGTTGCCTCACCCCAGTTTCTTTATACCGTTTACCAAAACCTCACCAATACCTGCCCCACCGTCACTTGATGACTACTCGATACCATCTCTATTGAAATGGGTTGGGGGTGCCTTGATATCAGCAACTCCGTTCCTTGTGTGGGTTATGGCTCAAAGGATGGTGCGTGACTGGAAAGCCCCAATATGGTCACACATATTCAGGAAACTCCCAAATACGTTTTTTAAGAGCAAGAGAATGCCCTTTTCACTGCAATTCCCTCTTCCACCGCCCACCCCTCATGTTGCTCTGCCATCTTTACATAATCCTCCTCGAGCCGTGGACACGGATGCAGAGAATAGAGCACAGGTCGAGAGCAGTGGTGGCGACACACCGGAGCAAACTGGGGACTCTACTCCAGGAGGTCGGCCAGCCGAGCCGCAGATGCCCCGCCGGACAAGTTTGTTCTCGACTAGAGGGGATGAGTACCCCAGTGATGATGAAGATAACGAAGGAGTCAGTGCCACTTTGATAAGTTTTGATGTGGAGGCTTCAGAGTCTCAAGACGCACCGCCCGGTCTTTGGTCAGCAGAATTACGGCCTAGCGCAGGCTCGGATTCTCGATCGAATGAAAGTCAGCAGCCCGTATATTTAGATACTTTGCTTACGCAAATGCCAGCAGCCATGGCAACACTCATGCTTGCGGATGCTATAACCAGAGTTTTGATGGCACCATATGAGGCCACAGCTCTTCGACTAGTCGCTCGCTCTTTCCGCAGTCGACAGGGCCTGCCATGCTGGGATATATACAATGCGAACATGCTTAGTGGGTTTACAAGCACGGCGTTGGTCAACTTCTTGGGCACTGAATTGTTACATATAACTTTTGCCAGTGAGGCTTGGGCGATTATTACATGCGTGTCGCAATGGTTCCACATGACTGAGGAGGAGTGGAAAATCGAGGATGCCAAGACACGTGAGTCGTCGGTGTAGTTGGTCAGAAGACCTGCTATCTAATTGTGTCCCATGAATTCGAAAGTTCGACCAGATGTTTCATGGCTGGCGGGGGGCTGAATCCGCCAGCCCGGGAAGTGGTGTTGCATGAAGGGAAATTGTGAATTCTTACCAGTTACTACACTTATACCCTGTACCATCAACTTTTTTTTAGTACTACTCACGGACGGCCTGCATGGCAGAGAAAATGAAAGCGAGAATAATTTCATTGTTGGTCGGTGATATCTCTCGAGGCATATGAAGTGGTTGTGAAATGAAACGACAACCTACGTCAAGTGAGGATAGGTTAAAGTGAGAAATCGGAGACTGATCGAACAGATATCGTTGAGAACAGGAGCCAGGGCCACCTGTTCGCCGCCGAACCTACGGGCATAGACATTTCCTGCCTGACAAACTTTTGGTATAATCAATTCATGGTAAGTAAAGCAACTTACGACGAAAAGTTGGCGGAGGCTGGTTCACTCTGGGCAATAAAGCAATAAATGTATGCGTCGCAACAACAGGATTCAACAAATCGAGGATACACAAATGCCCAGTGTCATTCTCATATCTCGACTATGGAGTAGCTTGAGTTGGGCTGGCGTTTGTATTTGCGAACTTACGGACAAGACAGCGGTGTTGTCGTGGTCAATACACCAGTGAATGCCTGCTTACGGAGTACATACTATGCCATATAGGTGATCACAGCGGCTCTGGTATACTTACGTCCCTATGTTTTTTTAGCCGGCTCTAGGAAATGCGACATGGATGACTGCCTGATGGCGTGTCATTTGATATACAGCTTTGCATACGGCAGGAAAAAGGAACCGGTGCTCTCTTTCACATTGGTTCGCGGTCAGCTGTATGTCCTGACAAACAAAAACATTGCCAATCGCTCATAACGTCACATCAACTATTCCGGCCAGACCCCTTGAATGGGGGTCGAAGCTTCTCGATGGATTGCCACTGGCAGTTGCAAGGCCCCCTGGTCCATTCGCCAGGGAAACAAAATGAGGCTTCACCCAGGCGACCGGCTTAAACACGCTCGCTATTTCCTCCACCAGCACTCGCTGAGCAAAAAGCTCGCTCAAAGGCCTTTGGGAACCATCAAAAGATGTCTGCGGCTCAAAATGATGTGGATTTCTTCCTTGGGTGCACGGCTAATCTTCGACGTCGCGGTCGAAGTAGCTCCGGCGGCGGAAAACGGGCTTGCTTTCCAGATGTCTCATCCGACACAAATACTTGGGCCTTGTCGGTTGTTTTCGAGCCCTTGCCCTAATCTTCCGAGGATACCTAGGTCCTCTTGCACTCTATTGAGAATTTCAGTCGCCTTACTCCGCACCTTCGCCTCATTTTTCCTTTGGCGTGGAAGATGCCTCCCCCTTTCCCTTTCGATTGTTATTTGCCAAACGCGTTGCCCGCCAGAACATGCCATGGATTGGCTCTCTTGAATTGGTTCACTTTCTTTTTTGAGGGCTCCGTTTTGGGAAGTCTTCATGTGAGAGTGATTATTGGGGTGCCAGTACTAATCTCGGTGGCTGGCTAGAGCGTGAGCCGCAACCTATGGTTTCGGGATGTAGTTGATCTCCTGCGGCAGAACATGTGTGAAGCTTGGGTGACTGAATTGGATGAAAACACAGGCATAGAGCGTATGGTGCAAAATTATACTGAGGATACAATCTTGAGAGTCGAGGCTCAATACATTGTACTTGGACGGGGTTCGGAAGCAACTCCGTGAGCTGAGCGGCGTTCGCAGCTTGAAAGCCACAAGCAGGGCGTTTGGAACGATGTCACTTCGAAATGATAGGTTGCACAATACGGACTGAGCACTCAACAGGTAGATCACCCCTCAGCTGCCGTATCTACCTCCTGTGGTCTCTGTAATGTCCGTAAATCTGTAGCCAAATAGGAATCCTCGGCGCCGACGCATGGTGTTTGGCACTGCGAGACAGCATGGGAAACTCACGTGGGAAAGTAAAGTAAGGCCGGAAAACTCGTTTCATAATGATCCGCTGTTTTTCTCCCGTACATTGTGCATGGAGAGGTCCGTTTGGGGATGACTCCGGCACTTGTCTCTCACGACTTCACATCCCCTATGCCAAATGTACGGCTTTTGCCTTGGGACGACCCACAAAGTGCATGACCTAAACCCGTTCGAGTGCCTTGATTTCTCCGTACTTCTATTTTGTCCGTATTTTCGACAACCTAGTCAAGTGTCCGAGTGTTGTTGATGAGAGACGATGACTCGGCTTGCGCCTTCAGGACCATGTGGGACGTCCTCACGCGACAAAACCAAGATACATATAACACGCCGTGTGGTGCGTATCCCTGGCTTGGACTGTTGGTGGCGTCAGAAGCCCATGCTTACAATTCATCATACGGACTATCCTAGGCCACCAGGACTGGGCGGGCCCTGATATCTCGTCTAGCCAGCGGTTACAGCCCTGCCTCCCACAACCTTGGGAGCCGAAAAAGGCGAACTTGCTTGGATCTACTGACACGATACTTAGTATCTTAACACGAGGTTCTTGACTTCCGGGAAGCGGGAAGGGGTTCCGCTGTTGCCGAGTACTGGACGAAGCTTCCACCAAGATTATTCTATGGCGCGACCTCTGCTAGCCGCGTTCTCTTCCGTCGGTGGGAACAGCAAGAATAAATTTCCCTCTCTTAGTTTCTTCGCAGGTTCCTCTTTAGTTTTCTGAATTTGCAGAGTTTGCATAAGCCGATGGCAGCCATCCTGGTCATTATGCTTGGCTTGGTTCGCTGTCAAACTGAAGCAGATGGCGTCACTTGTTGCTGCCGCCAAGGGTTGGCAACACAAAAAAGAAAAAGAAAGAAAACAAGAGGCAGGGGTGGGTCCCGCCAGATACTTTCCGAGAGTCGTTTTCGTGTATGTTCTTCCCCAAGGCGATGCTCAGGTTTCTCGAGGTGCTTAAATACCAGACCCTGCTGCCACTGGTCGTACTCTCGGTTCTAACCATTCATTCACCACAATCAAAACACACAGAGACATTCGTACACATATACACATGCCGAATTTTCTCCATCTTCAATAAACGCCCATATTTACCATGACGTGCGTTAAAGAGCGTCGTTCTGTCGTAACCTCGAACGAACCGATTGGGAGCTCGGCCCCAAGTACAACGAAACCTAAGGGAGGTATCTCGAGGGCCTGATGATGTTCATTATTGACCGTACTTGATCACTTGGGTCGAACACTATGAAGATTTATAAAAAGTTTTATTCGGTGTGCTGTAATGATGTCGCTGTTGCCAGCGATCTGGGGTGAGTATGGGCACGCCATTCCCTTCTCTGCAAGGCAAAATGCTGATGCCAAATACAGACTCTATATTTGAAAGGGGCTCAAGGCGGCATAATTCATGGCTCAAAAGTTATTTTTTCTATTCTTAATGATCCTTTCGCTTCCCTTGCTGGGGCGAACGGCACGGGCTGTTGAACACGACGGGGCGACAGAGCCATGGCCCATGACTACCTTGAAGGCAAACGATGGAACGACGATGCCAGTTTGCTGTTAATTTTTGATAGAGAGAAGTGCAATTCAAAGGAAATTACACGGCGAGAGGCATTTCATCATGCAAGTGAGGTTCATTGACGATGCGTGTACGCTACTATTGGCTGTGCCGTGTCCTCCAGCGCCCGGTCTGGCCGCATGAGAAGACCCAGATGCCAAACACGTTTCAGCCAATACCGGCCAGGCGGTTTGTTTCCCCAAGGCCAGCTTGTTCTCCGTCATGACTAACCGGCACGACACGTGTGGGGGAGTAGGGACCAAGGAATACCTCGTCGGTACGCATCACGCCTGCAGCCATCATGGTGGCACACACCAAGCCGTCACAGACACTTGAAGTATGCTGCTGCGCCTTGGACTGCTGGTGTGTCCCAATTCCATCACCGCCATGGTTGGACTGAGTTGGGCCGTTGCCGTTTCGGCAACATGATGGCTGCGCAGAGAGAGACGGATGAGGCTCTTTGCCAATCTTGGACCGAATGAGGACTGTTGACTCTGGTGACAAAATTTCCCAAGCCTGCGACCTGCATGAGGCCTTTATCGAAGCAGTTTTGTTCTTTCCCCCTCCAAAGAAAAAAAAATACATAAATAGGGGCATTGCGATGAGGCACGAATCTACTGCACATCAAGGACCCTTCCTCGACTCCTTTGAGCAGCATGACTGCCCCTCGAGCCTCTGAAGATATCGCGGACCGCAACACAACCGGGCTATCTGGGGTAAGTGTTGGCTCATACGGCCTGGGAACCGCTCCTGATACATTGTCTCCTGTTACGGAAGAAGGCCAGACTCCAGGTATGTTCATTGTTGGCCCTACGCGCAATTGAAGACTGGAGCTGATCTGATCTGTCTGCACAGCAGCCCCCAAGGAACTCCCCTCCAAAGATGATCTCCGGGGTAGGTACAGAATCCGGCTGATGATGGCGCGACGTGCTGAATCGTGATTCCATGACCTATGTTTGAAGACAATTATGGGCCTCTCTCGGTTGCTTTCCTCGCAAAGCTAGACAGGACGTTTGGCTTTACCCTGGCCCATCACGGAGCTGCCTATCTCACTCAGCACCATTTGGATCGCAAAATCGACCGCGTATTCAGGCAAATCGTCTATTCAATCCGTACGACTTCTTCTTACCCAGACGATCTCGGCGACCAGCTGGAAGAACTGGTCTGCAGGAAATGTGAGTACACCCGAAAAAACATGCGTGCGTCTTCTTTCAGGAAACGGCAACTCACCCTTGGCCTCTGTCCAGACAAGCTCACACATTACCAAAGGGGCATTCTGCAGCTCGACACCCCTACAAAAGCTGCCGTTGGTGAGCTCAACACCTTTGCAAATGGAAAAGTCGGCGCAGACCAAGCCCGTTATCTGTCCCAGGACCCCAAGGACTATGCCATCATGGGCACCATTAGCAAACTCGACTTGATCGTGGGACAAGTGGCCACGCCTCCCGTAGGGGAAAAGCTTTTTGTACGTCTCTTGCCTCTGGCATTTCCTTCAGGGCTAACCGAGACAGAAACCGCTGCTGAAAAGCCTCCATCGCTCCCCGAGCATGGACATCCGCGACTACCCGAGCTGGCCGTTTCGCATACTCTCGCGAACCATCGTCACCTGCCTCCTGGCGGCCTTGTTCTGCGTCCCCGTCATCGTCCAGGCCTCTAGCCTTGTGTCTCGGGGCGGCGCTATTGCGGCGTTTGGCGTCGCCGTCACCGTGGGATGCTTTATTATAAACGTCATTTTCCAGGACGTCAAGGCCAACATCATGTTGACGCTGGCCCTTGCGGCTCTTCTCAGCAATTGTCTGAAGAGCGACTAGTAGACGCCATCCCTGGCGGCACAATCTGTCTCTAAGTTGGGTGGGATAGCGATTTTTTTTTTTTTTTTTTTTTTTTTTTGGGAGGCTACAAACATCATAGACGGCTCATCGTGTCGCCTATTGTTCTCAATCTTTTACCTCTCCTGGAGTTGTATTAGATGTAAGATGAATGGATCGGTCGTTAGTTTTGTCGTCCCAACTCCCCGCCTCAATGCATCTCTCGCCATTTGTGAACAGCGCTTAGCTTGTATGCTTCAGCTTTGCCATCTAGCCCAGGCCGTCATTGGCATCCCAAGGGACAAAAAATTGCAGTCCTGGAGACCAACAAAATTTTGTCTCGATGCTATCTACACAGCCAACGTTTTTGGACCCGCGTCGGGCGTCAACCAAGACACCCGTCAGCTTCCGCCGACTATCGACGAAACCCTGATACGCTTCTTCACTTATCTATCTTCTACAATTAAGTGGAAATCGTAGCATCGGGCCTCACCGACGTGTACACCAAGCTTCTTTGTCCGCCGTAATTGGCAAGCATCTCAAAGCTGGTAACTCGATTTTGCTGTGGGCGCCACCCTTCAACACAGGCGGTTTACCACAAACATCCAAAGGAGCCTCAATGTGACTACCGTGACGGGATTTTTTTTTTTTTTTTTTTTTTGCTGACCGCAAGTTTCTAGCGCCGCGTTTGCCGGCAAACCAACCCGGTCAGGCAAAGGCCTCTCGGCCCAAGGGAATGGCAGAGCGTGGCCTATACTCGCGACGAAACATGCCGCTCTCGACAATTGGCAATGACCTGCCCGCTGGGTGTTGCGCTGCAGATGTCGGCACACAACCACCACCAGCTCGCCGGCCAATAGGTGCAGATACCCGGCACACAGAGGCTGCGAGGCCAGGTCATCGGCCACTGTCCGTTCGAGCAGTCGTCTCGGCATGTACTTCAAGTCACTCCCATGTTCCTCGGAGCAAGCCTGGCGGGCCGGCCCGTTGGCTTCGGGCGGACACGTCACTGCGCGGCATTGTTCACCGCCGGTGCGGCCGCAGGAGATCGGGGTCGTTGATGAACGGCTGCGGGACGGATGGGATGAACCTTGGGGCCCCGGGGGTGCGAGGTTGTGCAGGCTGTCTTGGATGAGCCTCGCAGCCTTGCAGGCGGTGAGTGCGGGTGGGCGTGAAGTGGTCAAGGGGATTTTGCCCCGAGATTGCGGAATGATGCTGATTTGGGATGCTGCGTGAGGCCCAGTGCGGATGTCGACCCTCTCGGTCCATCGAGCTGTAAAGAAGGGGAGGTATCCAGGTCAGTGACTCTTAGTACGGATAGGGGATGAAGCAAGATATTCTCCTTATTAGCTGTGGTTTTCTCAAATCATGCAGAAATATGCTCTCGTCGCACTTCAACCCTATACGTAGATTACAATTCCTCTCACTTGCAATAAATACATCCCGTGTCATTGTTCCATACCTGTTCCACCATGTACCCAAGCGCCTGCTCTTATTCACAAAAGTAGCCGTGATCCCACGGACAGTACGTCATCGTTAAAATGCCTGTTCCAACAAAATCTCGCATGCGAGTAGCTTACGCTCCGTGCCGATATACTTGTGCCCCTGAATTCCGAAACATGATTGTATCCCTCCGCTGCAGCACCATGAGAGCCCTGTTGAGTGCCTGCTCACTGTATCCCTTCCCCTCAACCATTTCTCTCCTTAGCGTAGCCAGACTGGTGCTCCACCCAATGGGTAATCGACGCTTGAGTTCGACTTCAAGACGGTTGACTTCCTCGTTCAGCTCGCGACTACCTTGGTTGCTGCCCTGGTTGACAGCATCCATGGTAGAGCAGAGGAACAGGCGGATGGCTTCGTCAACGTGTTCTTCCGTGGCGATGGGCGAGAGGGTCAGTTTGGCGAGGGATTCGGTGATACGAACAATGGCCTCGAGCTGACGGACTGTGATGGGGATGGAAGAGCGGGTATTTGCTTCCAGCTCGGCGGCATGGACTTGACGTCTGATGGAGACAAAGTGTGACGAGAGCTTTTCCGCGGCTTCGGGGCTCAGACGGGGTGCACAGCGACTGGGGTTGGCGTTAGTTGGTATTCATATGGTTGGCGAGCTGGAGAAAGAAAAAAGGACCTACGTTTTGCAATATGTAATGTATCGTCGCATCTTCTCGACAGGAATCTCAGACTCGGCGACCTCTTCCGTACCACGACCATCCATGTGAATACCCATGACGTGCTTGGCTATTCTCTCATCCTTTTCGCGAGTGTGCTCATCTTTGACAATGAAGATCATATCGAAACGAGACAGAATGGTCGTTTGGAAGTCAATGTTCTCTCCGGGCGTCTTCATGTCATCGTAACGGCCGAAGATGGGATTTGCCGCGGCCAGGACAGATGTCCTGGCATTAAGAATGGTGGTGATGCCAGCCTTGGCAATGGAAATGGTTTGCTGTTCCATGGCTTCGTGGATAGCGACGCGGTCGTCGTCTCTCATCTTGTCAAACTCATCGATACAAACCACACCACCATCAGCCAAAACCATGGCACCGCCTTCTAGATAGAACTCCCTTGTAGAGTGGTCCCGTTGGACGGAGGCTGTCAGACCCGCGGCGGAAGAACCTTTACCGGACGTGTAGATGGAGATTGGTGCTGCCTTTTCCACAAACTTAAGGAGCTGTGACTTTGCGGTACCCGGGTCTCCGAGAAGTAGTACGTTGATATCACCTCTCAGCTTCATACCGTCGGGTAGAATCTTCTTGGATCCACCTAGTAGTAGACAGAGAATCGCCTTCTTGATATCTCGATTTCCATAAATGGAGGGCGCAATGCAGTCCGCCATTACATTGTACAGGTCCGGTCGCCTGCTCATTTCTAGGAATTCCTGTTCTTCTTCCTCACTGTAGCTAACGTGGCCCTTGGCAGTTTGGTCCAAGTCTGTTTGGATGCCAACTGCTCTCAGGTACGGCGTTCGGATGGCAACGGCGCCGGTAGTGGATGAGTTTTTGGACGCCTTGTTCTGGTAGATGGAGAAGATGCCCATGACCGTGCACCTTGACCCGGGAACAACGCGATTTGTGAGATATCTATCTGCCGAAATGAGAACATGCCGAGGCAGTTCTCCAACTGGTACCTGGTCCGGTGCTTCTTGTAACTTGATGATTTGCTGGTCAACAAATTGTGACTTTTCGTGCATAACAAAGTATGGATCTAGAGGACACTTGGGCGTAGGATCGTTATCAATTCGCTTGCGATTACACTGTCTAGGAAGCGTTACACCGGTGAAGCCGCCCAACACGGGGATGACCTCCTGGAATTGACAGTTGCGGCACTGGATGTGCAGCTCCGTGGCTTTGGATGACATGACGGAAGCACCAATGACGATACCGGGGACGCGAACAAGCCTGGCGATCGTCATGGAGTCCAGGTTACGGATTGACACATCTTCGGCATCGGAGTGGAGCAGAAGCTGGTGATCGGGGAGATTGACCTCCTTCTCGTGCGGGAAGACGATTCGGTGTGTACACTTTTTAAGGGCCGCCTCAAACTATCCATTGCTGGTCAGAGGAGACCAATGAAACAACGCTACAGATGGTAGAAGAACTCACAAGAGGGATGACTTCCGCAGGCTCGGAAGCGAGCTTGTGAGCGAGCTCTTCGTTGAAGTTGATGAGGTCGTTGACTTTGACGTCACAGTAGTACTGCTTGAGAAGCGCATTCTCTCGTAGCTGATCACTAATTACACATGTTAGGGCCAACTGCGACGATTTCGGCATACAATGCAACATACCGATAGACAAAGTTATTGTCGAGGCGAAAGTCAAGAATAAAGGTCTCGAGTTGTTGCAGGAGCTGCAGCCGGGTGTCCCCATTCTCAGCGTAGCTGGGCTCGAAGACATGCGCTGAATAAACAGACCGGCGATCCATAGTTGATTCTTTTGCCGTACCTGCCGACTGGCTACTCTGCAGAATACGTCAAGGCTCCGAGTGTGAAGTTGTTGGATCCCGGGTGTGAATGCGATACGTAAATTGCAGATTGCCGGTTGAGGGGCTGACTGCATTGCCGCACCCAAGGGCAAAAACGCACCCAGGCATTGCAATTTACACGAACCAGACGCGTGATTTGGACCGCGACACGCGACGTTAAGTGGTTGCAGGTACTAAGCCCAAGCGGGTATGGTGCCGAACAGCGACCCCAGTCTCCTCGGAAAATCACCGGTCCATCGCGAACAAAGGCGCTGCGTGGCTACTACGGAGTCTGGCATAAGCATGGTAGGTATTACATGGTAGTTGCTTGCCTCAACGCTAAGCTCCCATCAATTAGCATCGCGTTGATCTGGCCATTGATTAGTGCCAAAACAACCTATACTATGGTCGTTTAGGCACTTTATTCTATTATTCCTTACTTCTATATATTCTTCCCCTTAAGGCGTATTGCATACTCCGCTCTCTATTCTTCCGCATGTGCCAGCGATGATACCCCGGTAGCACTCCTTATTCGACCCGTCCATACACAGCTGTCGGCTATACAGGGCTCTGGTTCTGTTTCTGGAACCTCTCGGCATCATTATCAGCCAGACCCTCTGCGATTGCGCATATGATGTTTTCTTCTCCGGCGGCTGGAAAGTCCGTCGACAGCCTTTCTGCGCCGTCGTTGGGGCCCCGGCATGAGGTCCCTCTCCACAGGTTGGTCCTCGTCGCCTAATGGAGCTTCCCTTACGCTGACATTTGAGTAGCAGTCGACCTGCTCAAGAAAATCACCGTTCTTCATCCAGACGAAATTCTACTACGAGCTCCATCCATTCCGTAGCCGGTGCTTTAGATAGCTCATCTAATGCTTGGTCTAATTCCTTATACGAACCTGGACAAAATGGTAAATTAAGATAGCTGCCTAATGGAGAAAAACACACAACAGCTAACCTGTGTGTACAGCCATTTCGACCCTTCTACAACCACCCATTGTTCGAACCGGCCTACAGCCTCACACATCAGCCCCATCATCAAGTTCGCACAAGCCCCCTAATACTCGAGACATCCCGCCGGTTGCCTTGACCAATATCCCAATCATCGATCCCGCCGAGTTTGATCCCTATGTTGCGCAAGTTGGAGCATTGTATGAGCAGTTGCGACGAGTGAAAGAGGGCGAGGACGAATCTGCCAAGAGCCGCCGCAATTCCAAGCCTGGTGAGCAGCCGGATACGGACGGCCTACTTCGACCGACAACGAAATCCCATCGACGCGGTTCGACTGCTTCAGTCGCTTCACTGGCGTCTATTGACGCACCTAGCCTTTCACGCAGGTCGACTGGCCTAGGGCGAAAAGCCGCGCAGGGACCCTCACCCCTATCAACCATTCCAACCGTGTATTTTGACCAAGATTTTCATCTCGAGAACCCGAGGACATTTGATGTTGTTAGTGAACGATCCGAAGTAATCCGACCCCCATCATTGGGCAAGGACAGCTCTTCACTTCCTACGGCCCCAAGAAAAGCTTTAGCAACAAATGCTATTCTTCAAGAGAAATTGTCCTGGTACATGGATACAATTGAAGTCCATCTTATCAATTCGATATCGACGGCATCGACAACATTCTTCACCGCTCTTGGGTCTTTAAAGGAACTGCACTCAGAAGCTGCCGACTCAGTGGAAAGGATAAAGGCCCTCAGAGAAGAACTAGAGGCACTTGACAAGGAGGTAGCAACTAATGGCATACTGATTGCTCAAAAACGTCGACGGCAGGAGAACTTGAGACAGCTTAATGATGCTGTATGCCAACTACGCTGTATTGTTGATGGGGTTAGCCGCTGCGAGTCATTGGTCGATGCTGGTGAAGTAGACAAGGCTTTGAGCAGTATTGACTCATTGGAGAAGCTCATTGCAGGTGAGCGTGAGGAAACGGACGGAGAGGAACCATCAGGTATAGAGTTGCGGGATTTACGAGGAGCTTCCGCATTGCAGGGTATCAACCAGGATTTGAATGCCTTGCGCTTCAGAGTCGGAAAGGCTTACGAATTGCAATTCGTCAATGTCTTGTTGGCCGACTTGCGCAGACACACAGAGTCCGTTTCTTCTGCGGATGTTCTTCTTCGATGGGATAATGCGGCATCCAGGGGGCGAGGGGGCCACTCTCGATCACCGTCAATATTTCCCACGTACCTCACAGCAACAGAAGAGCTGAAAGCACAGCTTATGCCCAACATGAAGGGTCTACACCGTGCCAAGTACGTTGCAACTGCGGCCATGGCTTATCGAGATGCAGTCCTTCGTGAAATTCGCAATTTGATTCGACGTCCTCTTCCAAGTTCGAGCGACGACGATAATGAGTCTACGCTGTCGGTGTCAACGACCAGTGGAAGCAGGCATTTGTCGAGTCAAGAGAAATCTGCAAATTTGGCAAGAAACCTTCGGGCATTGGACGCAGAAGACGCAGAAGAGCTTCTTGTCAAGATCTATGTTGGTGTTACTGAAACCCTGCGACGGCTGACCACGCAAGTCAAAGTGCTGCTCGATATCACGAGCTCCTTATCGGACGCATCCAATTTGGATGGTGTTAAGTCACCACCAGCTAGGTCACCTGTGACCAGCCCACGCCCCGATCGCCACATCTCCAACCCAATGGCTGCCGCCGATGTCGAACTTCAAGAAGAACTTCACAAGAGTCTGGACATCAATAGTCTCCTAACACAAGCTGTTGACATCGCAAATGACAAGATCGTCAAGGTTCTCAAGGTCCGAGCAGAGCAGGCTACTCATCTTCCGTTAGATCTTTTTCTTCGATACTTTGCTCTTAACCTCTATTTTACAACTGAGTGTGAAGCCATCTCTGGACGAAGCGGTACTTCTCTTAAGACGGTGGTTAATGGACATATTAAAGAGTTTGTTCAACGGAATCGTGACGCAGAGATGCAAAAACTGGCCCAGGGGATGGAATCGGATCAGTGGAATGCAAAAGATTTTACAGAGAGCAACACGAAACTCCTAGATCTCATACTAGGCTGTAGTATGCAAGATGCCTCCGTGTGGACAGAAAACAACAAGATTTGGATCCCATATCGCGAGCTTGAGAAGCCAGACATTGTGGCGGAACCCCCCGAGAGCAATGGGACTGGCAAAGACAAGACAAGATCCGCAGTCATTGAGTCTGAAAAGTTCATTCTACCAAACTCTGCAGTGCTTTGTCTGGATGGACTGGGGAACTTTTTGCATTTGATTGCAGGAATACCGTCCATAACCACAGACGTGGCATCTTCATTAATTGCATACCTCCAACTCTTCAATTCTCGGTGTACACAATTGATTCTTGGCGCGGGTGCGACCCGTTCTGCAGGTCTGAAGAATATCACCACAAAGCACTTGGCTCTTGCGTCGCAGGCATTATCATTCATAGCCACGTTAATTCCTCACATTCGAGAGTTTGTACGAAGCCACGCCGGTTCTGGGGCTGGAGTATCCAGCTTGATGGGAGAATTTGACAAGGTCCGCCGATTATTACAGGAACACCAAGACAGTATCCACCAAAAGTTGGTCGACATTATGAGTAGTCGTGCAGCGATTCACGCCAAGAACATGAGAGCTATTGACTGGGATAACGCCAGGCCAGGCGTGGTGCAGCCATATATGGAAATTCTTGCCAAGGAAACCACTACGCTGCATCGTGTTCTCACCAAGCATCTTCCAGAGACCTCAGTTCAATTGATTATGGAACCCGTCTTCGCCAGCTACAAAGACCAGCTGGGAGCCCCTCTCAAAGAGGCTGCTCCCAAAACAGAAGCTGGATCACAAAGGTAAGTTTTGCGCTCGCGGGGCCGGACGTTCTCATATGGGACATGTTGATCCTGACTAACATATTCCAGTATGCTGCGGGATGTGGAATTCTTCTCATCACGGCTGGGGAAAATCAATGGGTTTGGGGACACTGGAGACTTCCTTGCCAATATTGTCAAGTCCAAAGAAGTGAAGCCAAAGACACCAGGGCCAGTGGAAGAGACGGAGGAATCCCAGATCAAGGACAAAGCAGAAGACGACAAGAAGACAGATACGGAACCTGCGACGGAAACCAAAGAGGTTGAGGACACAAATGAAGAGAGCAAAGATGAGAGTCCATCGCAGGAGAGCGAAAAGAAGCCTGAGGACTAGCAAGGGACATGATTGTTATATAAGCGGACAAAACCACTACCGGGAGATGCCTACTGATGTACAAATTACACGGTGTTATTAGCACCTAGGAGAGGACGTTGACACGCGTACATGGACAATTGATGATTGGCAGCAAGTCTTACTTGCGTCTTTTTTGAACATTAGAGTCCAAGGGCAACTATGAGAAGACATGTGCAATAACGTGTCATTTTGGACCCATGCTTCCAGTAGGACTTTGCTTCATCTGTTTATCTGTAGTTGCCACCATCACCGGGCTCCGTCGCATCGCCGGCCACTTACAAGTACCCAGCGGACAGCGGCACTGGAGAGAGATGCTGGATGCGAATGTCCTCCACTTTCACCTCGACATCAGAGGCCGTCGGCTACGCAAAGGACTGGACCTTCAATTATCGAAGTCTGTACTAGCTTCATGCTATTTGAGCTCGACGCAGCGATGTAAACCACACAACTGAGCTGCGGTTGAGACACCCGCGGACCTTCTTCACCGTCATCGCGCAACAGCCTCCACCAATGCCATTTCGAATTACCCTACCCCCATGACTCCAACTTACTTCCTTGCGCCTCTAATCGGGCCATGTTCCGTAGACGGGACCAGCACCTCACCGCCAAGCAAACCCCTTCAATCCGCCAGCCCGCCTCCAACATTTACCCGACGGATATCCTTACGAACGTCAATCCCAAATCAAAGAGCATCGTGACAGAAGTTTCGTGGAGAAGCTGTTTCCGCTAGTATGATTCCCACCAGCATGGTAGAGACAAATAGGCCGAGCACGCGTGCGCGATGCGGAAGACGTGGCTTCTGGATGACGGGACGCATATGACGCCAGCACCTGGGACACGCAAATCTCACCCCGGGGTTGACAGGCAGCGAGGCGACGGGCATAGGTGACTTTGGCTGCGATTCCACATGTGCACTGGCTGCAGTTTTTGTATGGGGCTCGGGCCCGCCGGATAGAGCGAGGCAAATGACCTGTTCGTCCATGGAGTGAAAAGGCCTCTCGCACGGCTGACAGCTTCAAGGAAGGGATTGGAGCGGCGAGCAGGTCGAACCGCCGTGGTGGTCTACGCTCATGCAAACATGTGCGGCTGGCCCTGCTCACTGAAAAAGAACAAGCTTCTTGGCACTTGCTCCAGAAAAGAGGGCAAGCGACAATCGCCCTTGTCGAAGCTAGAAGTAGAAAGTCGAATGTGCAATGGCACGACCGCAACTTCAACCTAGCAAGGTGGTGCACAGAACCGGGGGGGAGGGCGTCTTCACGGCGGTTGAGACTTCATCCTTCGGCCGCGACACGTCTCAGTGTGGGGTGATTTCTTCGCTCCATTCCGGCTGCTCCTTTCCGCATCGGTCCGTAGGTCGCACTCGGGAACCGGCGGGAGTGGATCGCGCCGCCGGCATAGCTCCGGGTCGGAGGTGGAGGTGGTACAACAGCTTTATAACGGACAACACCGCGGCAGTGGGGGTACCCGACGAGTTGTGTCGTACGAGGGCAAGCAAAAAACAAAACAGATCCGGCGGCGATTATCGGCGGGGGGGGGGGGGGGGGGGCGCTGGGGTGG